CATCCAGTGCTTTTATCAAGAGATTAAGGGTTTTAGAGAGAGCTAAAGAAAGAATGCAGCTCCCCTTCCAGCTACTAGGCAGATTGAGGCTCTTATTTAACAGATACCGTATTGTTTGAGAAACAAGCAGCTGTGAGGAAGCTGGGGAAAAAAGCGGCAATGGGAGGGGCTGAGCCATAGAGAGATGGGAGACTTTAAACAGGCACTGTACTATCTGTAAGGATGAATGATAAATGCTTAAGCCGTTTCCATGTATATTTGATGTCGCCTTAGACCTAACGGTGCATGGTGCATGGAGCCCCAGGGCCTCAGAAACACTGCACCACCGGCTCCTTCTTTCTCTCCTTCCTCACGTCGATTTCGTTCGCCTACCTGGCTGCTCTCAGCTCGATTTGTTTGCACTCATGTTTCTCCCAGTCTGGGCCTTGGTTAACATTTAATTCTACCTTGACAGACACAGGCAGGAGACTGTCAAAACGCGGGCCATCAAATAATGAAATGTGAATCAGCTGAGCCACCAGCGGATCAGCTACAGACAGCACACACACCAAATATTGGGGCCCGGTCTCTTTAATGAGCTCTGAGCTGTCTGACTGAACACAGCCATGTCTCTCACCTCTCTGACACCGCTGGAGCCGCCGATTCTGTCAGGCAGGAAAAGCTCTGCAGCAGAAACAAAAAGTTCAATCCCGCTCAAAGTGCTGCTGATACTCGAGGAGGCTTTAAATAAAACATGGAAATGAATCCTGACACGTTGCGTCGAGTTGTTTTCGATCCGAGAGTAACACAAGGTAGGGCTGTTGTACACGAGGAGTAATGGTGTAAGCCAGTACTGCACTGAGGGCCAATAAGACAATCAATGACGAATTACATGACACCGGGGCTAATGTCCTTGATTAGTCTTGCTATGCGAACAAATGAAGCGAGGCTCTTGACAATCACATGAGAGACAATGCGGCTCCAATAGGAGTTGATGCGTCAGGCGGTTCTGCAGCAGATGAGCTCCAGTCTCATTATACAAGCTCATGGTCAGGAGACACACAAATCCTTCAAAGTGTGTTTGAACCCTGCTGACTGACCTTGCATATTTAGCTTAACAAAAAGATGTCCAACAATGGAATTAATGAATTTTCACTATGATTTCCAATACCAAAGTAATTCATTTAAGCCTGAACACTAAGTTATGAATAATAAGGAATGATCAGCAGACTATATTTCATTTGAAATAAATATGACCTTTAATTAATGAGGCTTATCTGTGAAAGATGGAAGCGATTGGACTTAAAACAAGCAACAGTTCACTGAAGTTTTTACAGGTAGGTTTAACTGCAAGGATTTTCATTATTCATGGTCTTTTAAAACCATTTCATCAACATTAGTTCTCACAACTCGTGTCTTAAACGACTACAATTAAGAATACCTCCCTGTAACGCAGCTATTATCTACAGTGCTGTGCAAAAGTCTCGAGCTTGAGCTTCTTTTGCTTTGAGCAACAGTTCTTCAGGGTTTCTTTAGACATTGGCAGCTTTTCACTTATTTTCAGTCCAGGCCTTGTACCTGACCACTTTCACAGGAATGTTTTTGTGTACACATAACAGCGAACTTAGCAAAGAACCCATTTTAAATTTTATCTTTAGGCACTTTGTTACTACCGGCCTGTCACAAAAACACAATTTGTTCCCATTTCTTTAGCTGAATCTCTGAAAAATACCAAAGATAACACAGTTTGACAGGCATAAAATAGTATTTTTGTACCAACAAGGTGATTCCTGAAGAGCTATTAGCTAAAAACTTGGCATATCTCAGCATCGTGTGCAGAGCGTCCCCCCCAAAAAATTTTGTAGAAACTTGACAAGTGGAGGACAAAAGAAGAAGCGGCAGGCATAAAAAACCCATCTACGGCAGAAGAGCTGAAAGTCATGTCCTTAAGAAATGAGAAAAGATTCAGAATGGCTGTCACAAAGTCATTCTTAAGGAAAGGGAGCAGAGAGAAAAGACTGAGGTATGCCAAATTACACAAGAGCTGGACTGAAAATCAGTGGAAACAGGTCTGATGGAGTGATGAGTCGAAATTAGAAACTGTTGGTTCAAATCATCATCAATACGAGCTCAGGAGAGAGGTACAACACTGTTTACAGCAGCAGTCTCCAACCTTTTTTGCGCCACGGAGTGGTTTAATGTCAGACAATATTTTCACTAACTGGCCTTGAAGGTGTCGCGGATAAATACAACAGAATAAAATGATACGACCAAGACAAACACCATGTTATTTTGTAAATATAATAATAAACGCGAATTGACTGTCTAATAACTTTATTAGCAATATGTCTGTGAAGGTTCTCAGTCATCCAGGTCATCGTAGTCAAAGGAGCTTGCAAAGAAAAGCGCTGGACTTCTTTAAGTTACTTGAAGACATTTCACCTCTCATCCAAGAAGCTTCTCGGATGAGAGGTGAAATGTTCAAACGTCTTCAAGTAACTTAAAGAAGTCCAGACGCTTTTCTTTGCAAGCTCCTTTGGCAACTTTATTAGTAGCGTCCTCCTGAAATGCGCCAACAACATTGAGAGTAACATCCTCTTCTCCGCCCCTTAATGCTCTCTGGTTGCTATGGTAATGTGTAAATATTTCTTTCAAAATAAGACATGCAACTACAACACGGGAAAAGACCCAGGGAAACCGAGTTAGCAATAAAAACCCTGAAAACCGTAAATTTCACACCTGAGCCTCAACTCTTGCGCCC